AACTATGGGGGACAGCCTAGTAATCTAAGAAGGTAATTACTTGGGGAAAAAATGGACACAAATAGAAAGTCCTAATTCCTAGTCACCAGCAACAGACCTCGGCACTCTATCACATACACAAAGATAGACTCCCAGACTAAAGCCAATAATGTTAACTGTGAGCTTGCCTTTTCAGAAGACTTGGGCCGTCCCCTGCCCTGCACACCCCGAGTTTTGCTTTCTTTAGGGAAGCTATTTCATCTACCGTATCCCAGTTTCCACCCAACCTGTGGATGATCCCTGAGGCTTTGTGGATTGCAACCCGGCCGCTTCCCTCCTTAGACTGGCCATCTCTGCGGTCTCGGGCATACATGTTCTTCTCTGAGAAATTGCAGCCCTGGAAGTCGAAGTGGGCTGAGTTCAAGGAGATGAGCTTTGGATAAAGCATATTTTCCACCTGTTTGGGGAGGAAAAAGGCAACTCAGAGACAGAAAGCAAGCCTGAGGGCAAGGAAGACATGGCAAGCATGCCTGCAACCCCTCCCACACTCACATGACATTCTGCGGATTCCTACCTGGGTGGTCTCATCAGTGAAGCTGTTTCCATACATGAAGCAGCCCCTTTTGGAAGCATGTCCGTGCAGGTCTACATAGTAAGCAACACCACTCTCTTTGGGGGGGATGGTGTCGGGGGCTGGCTGCTCAGCCTCAGTGGACCCTGGTGGCATAATCCACACACTGCTGGCCTTCTGTTCTGCAAGCTCAGTCTCTGTCCAGGACTCAGGGTTATCCCCATCGCATGAGTGCCCAAGGTGAGCTTCCATGTGGAGATTGTTGGCTTTCTCAAGGTCAGAAAGGGGGGCATCAGGGCAGAGACGAGGACTGTACTGTTGTGCAGAGGGACTCTGGGAGTTCAGACGGGAGTGCACATGGTGGTAGAGAAGCACAGCTTTAGCCCCGTAGATGGCCGGATGCAGGACTGCATCAGGCTTCAGGTACTGACGGTTCAGATTCACTCCACGCGAGTCTGTGCTGTAGGAGAACAAGGGCTGAAGCAGGGTCTAGAGGGCTGGACCAGCAGGACAGACACTAGAGTAGAAAAGAGACTACGGGAGACTGAGTTGTAAAAGGAGAGGCTGAAGTTGCATCAGGAAAGAAAGAACTGAGGATAGGCGCTCTCCTTAATCTGCTGTCACTCCTGCACAGACACCCGAGGACAGCTCCCAGGTGGACCTGCAGGTGTGCTAGCTCTGCTCCTTCCAGAGAGTGCTAGGAGATGGGGTCCCTTTCCTTCTCAGGTCACTGGACGATTAGATGGGCTCACCCTTATCAGGGTGCCAGAGGGTTGGGAATACAGGAAGAGGTAGATGATAGTGTCTCACTGAGCTGTAGGGCATATGGGGGACCGGAAGACGCCCCAGAGATCAGGGAGGCTTCTTACCGGTAGTGGCCCCGGACCACACCATCGGGGTTTAACATGGGGATCAGCTTAAAGACAAAGAGGCGACGTAGGGTTTGGGCCCGGGGATCATCAGGTCGAAGGATGAAGTCCAAAAAGCCATTGAAGACAAAGCTAGATGGAGTCTCTCCAGGGTGCACCCGACTGCTCAAGAAGAATATCTGATACAGAGAAGGGAGCAGCCATTAGGTTGTTACACTATAGTTCTACTGGACCAGTATCAGGGTGGGGCTGTGGGGAAGGGGATGAGGCAGGAATGAAGAGCCACTGGATTTCCAGCTGGCCGAGTCTGTAAGTGGAGTGGGAGCTGCTGCCCTTGCCTCAGAATGCAGGCTGAGCCTGCGATGACGATGCCTAGCGATAACGTGACTGTAAGCTACCAACAGTGCCTGCACTAGGAATGGCCAGGGTCTTGTCTTTATACTGTTCCCACTCACCCTCTTGCCTGTGAAACGGAATGGTCGGGGGGTGCTGATATCAGGAAATAGCTGCTCTAGACGGGGCTCTCGATCTTCTTGAAGCCCATGGTAGGAACTGATCGTTAGCAGATCTACACGAAGTCCATCCAGAGAATAGCAAAGGATCTCCCGGTGGTAATAGATGGTATCCACAGGGCTGTAGGGATACAAATCATTAAGCCATTAGAAGTCCCTAAAGTCCTAGCAAGAGGTGGGCCTTGTCAGGAGCCCAGGATTTGTAGATCTGGTACTTCACCCTGCCTTGGGGACCTTACAGTCCCTCATAGTGTTATAGGGGGCTGAGGATTTGGGTGGGTCTGCATTGCCTGAATGCAGAGTACAGGACAGGATAAACTTGTTTTTTCCCCAGTTGTTGGCTCCCTAGGATAGATTATTTTGCACAAAGAGCTGCCCTCTATTGGGACAGAAAAAAAAGGTGTGCTGACTAAATTCTGGATAACTGATGGGAGCTGGGGTATTAAGGGCTTCAACTGCACGGGTCGGGGGCGGGGGGGGGGGTGTGTGGAGTGTAGGTGGTGGTATGCTGAGAGCAAGGTCACATAGTAATATATTTGCCAAAGGTACCCCAAATCCCACATTCTGTACAGAGAAAAGAACTGTTTCAGGGTCTTAGGGCAAGTCCCAGAGGTAGCAGAGGTGCTGTGTGGTCCAGGACTGTGTGGCAGGAGTACGAATGGGGTTGGCACCTGCTATGGGTAGGGTGGTTCTCCAGAAAGCGCTGGTCTAGCTGGTTTAGCAAATCCTGGCAGTCACTGTAGGAGAAGGGGTAGCAGAAGGCGAAGAAGGTGGTGGCCCCACGGCCCTCTACGAAACGGTGAACAAAGGACAACACAAACTGCGTTTCTGTCATCTGAGGAGCAGAGGAAGAGGGAGGGGCAACATGCCATCGCTGTCAGAGCTAAGGCCCTAGTGGCGTCACCAGGGACTGACCTCACGCCCTCATCACATTTACCAACTTCCCTCCCATCACGTTTACCAACACACACACAGAAAGTCCCTCTGAGACGTTCCACATGACCATCAGCTTCCTGGGGGCTCCGTGCGGCAGGGGCTTCTCTGGGACTCCTGCCAGCGCTGCCGGGAAAGCAGGTACCAAACCCGGTGTCCTGCCTGCCAAGTGCTCAGTATCAAGGGTAACTCCTCTTCCTTTCCCGCCTCTGCTTTTAGCACCCAGGTCTTCCTTTCTGCCTCGGGATAAACTTACCTCAAAGGTAGGCCGGTCTCGAATGCGTTCCCAGCGTGGCCGGGTGGGCAGCGTGCGCACAAAGGGGGCCATGCCCTGGGAATACAGCTTGCTCTGCTTGTTCATGTTCATAATGTTGATCTTGATGAGTTTCCCTGGCGATCCTCCCCGGACACTGAAGTAAAACCATGACCTGAAGGCCAGAGTAGGAGAGGCCGGTGGTTATCGAGGGGGCTGGAGAGGGGGCATGTGGGAGGGTAGTGAGGAGGAGAGAGGGAGGAAGGAGGGGCAGGCAGAGGAGGAGGGCAGTGTGCTGGTATGAGCTGCAGGTCGAAGGGCTGTCGAGCGTGGGCCTGGGGACAGGGACACCGCCTCTCTCCTTCCTTCCTTCCACCCTCCACTCCTCCTCTCACCTGTTCCCATTCTCATACTCTGTTTCAGCACAGTCTGGTCGGGTCCACACGTTGAACTCATAGTCGGGGGAAGAGGCGGAGCTGCTGGTCGGGGGTAAGGCGCCCCCTGCCACTCCCTCCCCATCACTGGACACAGACTCCACTTTCTCCACATGGGCGAGGTTCCCCGAATCAAATCGAGAACTGAACAGCAGTCCCCCACAGCGCAGCTCCATGGCGGGGCCGGGAAAGCATCCTCCTGCTCCGCTCTGGCCCTGAGAGCTGAAGAAAAAGGGGGGCCGGGTTAGGCAGAGCGAGGGGAAAGGATGACAATATTTTTGGGGGGGACCTCCAGATAAATGAGCGCTCCTCTGAGGGAGTGCCCTGCGAGGTGAGAGGCTCTCTCCCCGCCAGAAAAGCCAGAGGCGGCCTTCCGGCCACACCAGGTTACAACTGACCTAAAGGACTCCATTTTACTACAGGGTGGCTGTCCCAAAAGGACACACTCGGCGGCTTACCTAGGCGGGGAAATACTACGAAATACTAAACTCGAAGCTTCTCCGCAGCCCAAGGGCTAGAGACTACAATCAGAGGGGTCGGACTGCCCAAGCCCAGCCCAGGGACACACGGCCACCGGAGAGCGGGCCCCCACCCGCCGGCAAGGCAGAGCGGAAAGAGCCAAGTTTCTAAGTTGCCGTGGGCAGGTCCTGTCTCCTCTCCACGCCTCTGCCCTCGCAGGCACTGGCCAGGCTCTCTCGTGTGGCTCCCCGAGCCCTGCCAGGCCGGCTCGTCCCGCTCGTCATGGCCCTTTGCCTATCATGGGAGAAAACTAGAAACGCGAGGCCTCTGCCAAGCCACAGGGCACTGGGCAGAAGCCACTCGCTCACCTAGAGGCTGCAGCTCAAGTCCAGCCGGGGCGCGGTCCGTTTCCACCCTCCTCAGCCCCGCAAGCCCTACTCTGGGAGTTGCGGGTGAATAATGGGTGCGGTTAGCACCCCTAAAAAGTGGCCGGTAGAGCCCCCACTGGGGCGGGGGCGGCTTCACCACCCTGGACCCTGAGGGACCGGGACTGCCCTGGGCGGGGTGGGGCTGGAGGCAGGAACCGGGCACCGCCGACTCCGGTAGAGGGAGGGCGGGGCCGGGAAAGGAGGCAGAGGTGAGGCCCCCGGGTGGGGGTGGGGGTGGGGCCGGGGGCCCGGGCTGAGGGGCGGGGCGGGGTTCCAGAGGCGCTCGGGGCTGAAAAGGGGGCGGCGCCGGGGGGGCGGGGCCCGCCCTCCACGCACAGCCCCTCACCTCTCTCGGGGCCGGCGATCCCGCTCCCTTTCCCGCTAGCGAGGCGCCACCTCGGGCCCCGGCACCCAGGACCCAAACAAAACCTGAGCGCCGCGGTGCCGGGACCCGGCTCTGCCAGGAAACAAGAAGTCTCTCGCCGATTGGCCGCGGGGACAGCTGGCCACCCGCCCAGTAAAGCCCGCTGCCATTGGCCAGTGCGCGGGGTTCCTCGGGCGCGCGCTACCTGAGCCGGTGCCGTTTGGGGCTGACCCGCCCGCCGGGCGGGAGGTTGCGCGAGCGCTTTCTCGGGAGATAGTCAACCGCCGGCCTGCCGGCAGGAGGGGACGAAGAGACCGAGTAGTAAACGGAAAAGACGTTAAAAACCAAGGGGCCATGTGTGAAAGTGATCACCGCCGGCCGCGCTCCTCTGGCTGTTACACTCAACCGGCTCAGCTGGTCTCCCGCTCCCCCCAGGGGCGGGCAAAAGCTGAGTGGAGGATGCGGGCATCGATCCCGCTACCTCTCGCATGCTAAGCGAGCGCTCTACCATTTGAGCTAATCCCCCGGCTGTGGCTGCCTCCCTTCCAGTTACCTTACACGTTGTTACAAGATGTCTGCTGACCAATGAAGAACCAAAATTCAGGACATTTATTTAGAACCAGAGTATGAGAGAACCATAGGCGAAGTTTTAAAAGGCAGAAATAACTACACGTAAGCAATAGTAAAGAAATTAAAACACCTAAAATATCTGCATTTAACCCACAAGAGAGTACTTACACTATACGTATCCCGACCAGTTTGCATATGTTTTACAGAACGTCGGTAGTGCTCAGGAATTCAGTCTGCCTTCGAATAAGTCTCCCACCGTCCAAGGTGGGTGGAGGTTAAAAAGATTGTACGAAGTCCTTCGAGCCGGAATCGAACCAGCGACCTAAGGATTGCCACGGCTCACCCACTACAGTCCTCCGCTCTACCAACTGAGCTATCGAAGGCCCCGCTGGTGAGGCCGTCCGCAGATTGCCCTCTAATGCTTACCGAGGCCTCACTACCCCGGGATCGCAGAGCTTTCCAGAGCCTGGACTCCACTTTCTATAGAAGCTCACACGGGCCAAGCCCCTCCAGACCACACGCAACAAGAAAGGCAGAGACGAGTGAGAGCAAAGGACCCACTTCCCAACCCCGGACGGAGGAAACGCGGGCAATACATTTCCCTTCCGTTTTCCTGCTTCCCACAAAACAGTGCACCCCCTCCCGCCGCCGCTCCCGGTGGCTTCCGTAGGACTGCGGAGGCCTGGAGACCCCGCTCGCGACCCTGACCTTCTGGGCAGCAGGGCCCAGCGGGGCCGGCACCCTCGCACGCTCTGCAACTGCAACGCGCCAGCCCCGTTCGCCAAGCCGACGGCTTGCTTTTGCTCTTCTTGCTCCCCATTCCCCTTCGCTTTATCCGGGGAAGCCAATAAAACCCTACTGCTCTCGTGGTGGGAAGTACATTCATTCAGTCCATGAACCAACGTTTTGTCGGCTATTCGTCCCGACTAGGGCAAGAAAGATACAAACCGCAGAGCTGCTCGAGGTTTGCAGGGCGGCGCGGGATCCAGCTGCCCCGAAACCCCGCGAGGTGGGACTGGCGGGCGGGGCCCAGAGGGGCCCTGGGCACGGCCACGTCCACCGGCCCCGCCCCTGCCCTGCCCCCTGCTCACACCTTCACTCTTTCCCCGGGCTGCAAAGCCAGCCCACAATCCTTTGCCCACTAGGAGCTCTGGGGGTTTCAAAACCAGGAACCTTGAAAACGAAAACCCAACTCTTGTGTGAATCCTTGCTGGGTCGTCAGATGGGGTGGGTGTGCGGGAAGACCTGACCTCCATTTCCAGCTCTGCGGCCAGCTGCCTGTGCAACCTGGTGATGATTTCAAGCCCCGCACCGGTCCGACATTTTTTGGGTTCTCGTGAGCTGTGCTTTTAAATCCGAGGTCTGATGCCGCTGAGCACAACACCTCTTTGCGCCCACCCACAAAGCAGGATGGTAACATCTTGATTTTAACTTGGCTCTGTTGCTGCAGTTGGTGCCATTGTGCCTCCGAGCGTTAGCTTGGGGTGTTTAGCACTCTCTTTGGGGGCGAGGGGCGGGGAGGGAAGACGGGGAAGCAGAACATATTTATGTTGTTACTTATTTGGGGGGGGGGGCGAAAGTCACATAGCACAATAAATAACTTTAAAGTATGAACACTTCAGCGGCATTTAATGCATTCACAATGTTGTGCAAATTACCGCCTCTCTCTAGTTTCAAAACTTTTTGTTTAATCACCAGCAGGCTTGGAAGAACACCTCCTACCCTTTTAAGCAATTACTCCCAACCACCATCCCCTGGCAACCACGAATCTGCTTTCTGACTGTATGGACTTGCCCATTCTGGAGATTTCATGGGGAAAAAAATCACAGAACATGGGACTTTTTGTGTCTCATTTCTTTCACTTATGTTTTGAGAATCATCCAGGTTGTAGCCGGTATTAGTACTTGCTCCCTTTTTATGGTGAACCCTTGTATGGATATACCACTTTATGTCTATCCATCCATCTGTTGTGTTTTTGTTTTCCATTCCTGTTTTGATGGACAATTTCCACCTTTTGGCTTTTATGAATAATGGTTTTATAAACATTCACGAAGAAATTTGTGTGAATATATGCTTTCATTTCTCTTGGTTATGTACCCAAGAGTGGAATTCTGGATTTTATGGTAACTATATGTTTAACTCTTTGAAGAATTGTCAGACTGTTCCCATAGTGTCTGAACCACTTCACATTCCCACCAGCAATGTAGGAGGGTTTCAATTTCTCCACATCCTTGTCAGCACTTATTTTCTGTGCTTTTTATTATAGGCAATATTTCAATAAATTAAGCACAATTAATTATAAACATTTTCTCGTATCATTATAGATTCTTTGGAATAATTTGAGAAGCCCTTTGGTTTTACCACAATTTATTTAAATATTCATCTTATTGCCAGACACAGTTTATATCCAAATTTTTATTAATACTGCTACAATAAATGTTCTGAAATATAAGTTTTTGTCCATGTTTCAGCTTACTTTTTTATTCTCAAGAATGTATATATTTGTTAATCTTTTATTATTTTTACAGTTTGGAGCCTCACATGATTTTGATAAATAATTCTTTCAGAATTATGCAAAAAGCCAGAATATATTTTTAGGAGTGTAATTACTTGGTAAAACAGTATGAAAGTTTTAAACCTTTTGATCAGTAGTATCAAATTACTCCCCAGAAACATCATACCACTTTCTACCATAGCATTTACTGAGTATATTATCATTAAAAAACAATTCATCAATGTTATATACAAAAGTAAAGTGATCTTATTTTAAATTTGCACTTTTTAACCAATGAAATGACTTTTTTCAAGTCTATGATTCATTTGCATTTATTTTATGAATTGTCTTTTGTCCATATTTTTATTGTGTTTAGCGCTTTCTTGATTTGTGTTCTTTACATTAGGATGTGTGTATGATATGCTCAATAAGGAAATGGAGGCCTTGATCAACACAGCAACTCGACCTGACAGACAAGGACATTCCACCCAACAGCATCAAAACACATTCTTCTCAAGCACACACGAACATTCTCCAGGATAGCTCGCCTTAGGCAAGTCTCAACAAATTTAAAAAGATTGAAATAATACAAAGTACGATGAATGTAAACTACAAACTTTGGATGACAGTGATGTGTCATAGGTTCACTGGCGTTGACAATGGGTGAGGCTGTGCAAGTGTACGGGCAAGGGCTATGTCTTTTTTGGCTCAACTTTAATGAGAATGTAAAACTGCTCTAAAAATAAAGTCCATTAAAAATTTAGTAACTGGTATGCTAACACAGTAAAAAAATTACACCAAGGCATATCCAAAAATGTGTCTGAATTCAATTATTTTATTCATAGGCAGAATATCCAATATTCAATAAATATTCACTCATACCCTGAACAATGGAAGCTCCCGTCCCCTCAAATTTCTTCTGCCTCAAGTGTGGGGCAATGAAAAATACCCAGTAAAATGGAATATCACATGGGGCAAAGCAAAGTCCTTTATCCCCTCAAGCGCTTTTGGGAGCAGAACCATGAAGAAAAATTTAAAAAAAGTTAGATCACTTGAAGTGTTCACTTAAATTCAAACTCATTTAGGAGCTAAGGCAGCATTAAAATGCTGAGGTCATCCAACCACTGAAATTTCAGTGTAACTGACAACTGGGTCATTCTGGACTAGGGCAGGCAAGGCACGTCCTCTCTGTGGGCAACACTTCCCCTCAAGGGTGGGGGCGTTTGAGAATAGGCCAGCAGGTGTGAGACCAGCGTTATCTGCCTGGCAAGATCATCTATCCACAGTAAGTCGGGCTGGTCCATCAAGTTGGCCTGCTCTAAAGCTGTAGACTGGGTACAAATCACCAGAGGAATGTGGAAACACAGTTTAAGCTTAGAAAAACGTGTTTCAAACGAGTCTTTTGATCTAATTTGCAGTTCAACACCATTTGTTAATAACTGAAGTTAGTAAGAGATAACCATATTTAAACTGCCCTTCAGCTTTATGGCACGTTATCTATAGAACTCCAGCTGTGTGTGAAAAGTAGTTACCGTGCCCAGATGTGACCCTCTGAGGCGTCGGACTCTGTTCTAATAACATCAACAGTCCCTGCCCACCTGTCAGCACCAGTGTGCTCACTCTACTAGTCCACACTGGTTCAACTCACTGGCTGTTTGGATTAGTTTGTTGACAGTTCTGCAAAAACGAAACATCTGGGTATCTGGTTTAGCATTACTGGACAGCAGGTGAAACGCTGGCCTACTCCCTTGACACAGGAAAAATTTTTGGCAATTCCAGTATTGGGTCAACCAACTACATCTATCAAAGCCAATTCAGGTGTTAGTGTGGACACCTCAGCTAACCTAAGCTGAAGGGAAATGTTGCACCCCAGGATTATGTCAGAAATGAAAGGAACCCGGTATAGTACACACATTAGAAGCCAGTGAAGCACTTGGAAGTAGCATCCTTGCAGTTGCTGGATTGCAAGAACTCAGCCCAGCAGCCTTGGCTGGACTCGAGGACATTGCAGGGTAGTGTCATCACTTTGTCTTTTGCTGTTGCCAGTGTAGGATCATACCAGCCCCTTCTACTTGCCACGAATACAGGCCAGTTCCAAAGCTTCACTATTCCTAAGAATTGAATCCATTTGTTTCTGATTGGTGAGGAAGAATTGAGGAAATAGGACGTTTTGGGACCCTTAGGTAGTCCAGTCCAGCAGTCCTAGACCATTGCTCTTTGCCAGGCAGGGTTTCCAATTTCTGTGAAAAAATGGCCATGGCTGCCTGCCACTAGGAGAGCTGGGTTCTGCCCAACGTGGGCTATTTAACTCCCAAGAGGTAACATTCTAACAAGGGAACAAAAATGTGAGTGGGCAGTGCCCCTCTGGTACTGCTGGTTTAGAAACATCCAAGAAACTCGAGGTGAGAACTAAAACCCCGTGAGAACTAAAACCTGTGCAGTTGATAGTCTCAAGTCAAATATTAAGAGGCTGGTGATAAACCCTTGATCCTGCCTCTTAGAGTTCTAAATCTTTCACTCGCTGCCTTAGAAAACAAACTGATTAATAAGGTCCTGGCAAGGAAGAAGACACCTGATTGCTGGCCAAGAATTCCCCCAGGAGACTCTTCCCTGCATTTCCACGCATAAATCACGTAAGCCGTCAAGGCAAATCACAAGTGGGACATGAATACAGTGACAGTGAGACAAGGGGAGCAGAAAGAGGTCCAGAACCCTCCACAGGCCCAAGTTTAGGATGGGTGTGGGCTTCCTTAACCAGAAGTGCAATTACTGCCAGGAGCTACGGCCCTTAGGCGGGCAGGGGACCAAGGGGAATGTGCAGGCGCCTATATTTATCCTGTCCACAGCTATGGGAATTCCTGTAAGAGGAGGCAGAGAGGAAAGCTAGAAATCAAAGCTGTGTCCTTTATTCCACCTGTAGGCATATCCAGGAGCCATATACTGAAGCCTGTCTCAACCGGCTGCTGGAAGGTTCCCCGTGCCGAGGCACACAACTAACTGGACTCTGCTCCCCCGACAGATGGAGGGGCAGGCGACAGCGAGAAGCTGGACTTGGAGGTGGAGGCCTTCCACATCCCCAGCACTGAAGGGGAATGGTGAGGAGAAAGGATCGTGATGGAGAGGGCAGAGAGGGGCCTGGAAGGACCTACGCTGGGCATTTTGAGGTGCAGGCTGTGGGTAGAAGTAAAGCTGCTCTTCCCCACGGTGGTGCCATAGTCTTCTGGAAGTCCCTTTCCTTTTCCTGCTGTGGTTGAAGTATGGGAACAGAAATCATTCATCGAAGAATGCAGAAGCCACTCACTGGAGACCCACCTTTGGGGATGAGGTGTTTGGGGCTTCAGGAGTGAGATGGAAGGCAGGAGATGAGAGAGGAGGCTAGAAAGGCTACCAGCCCAGGGCAGATGCTGGGAGCTATGTGCGATAGGGCCAGAGAAGTATTCAGTGGAATCATGGAGGAGGCTGAGATACCCCTGGGCTCAGTCATCACCAAAAACTGGGGAAGAGACAACTGGCCTAGAGTACAGAACTCAGGCACCAAGTAAAAAAGACCCCATGCAGAACTGCCTCCAGCAGTCTGAGGTGGCCCGTCTCAGACAGAGACTAGTGGCCAAGGAGGCAGGGCCTATTGCTGGGATATCATAGCAAGCGCCCAGTCCAAGAAAGCCACTGTGATGTCCTGTAGGCAGAGCCAGATCCAGTGGGCAGCCTCACTGAGCTGTGTCTTCACGCAGTCCCAGGTCACCGGACCTCTGGGAGGAAAGCAGAACATTGGTGGGGCTTGGGAGGTAGTGATGTGCAGTTGTGTCAAGCCACAAGGCTGCAACTCAGACCCACAACCACCTACCAGTGGCCAAGGGATGAGCAAGGGGCAGGGCAGAGAGCCTGAACAGAGAAGCCTTGTCCCTGGGAAAAGGGCGTGGGGGCCACTGGATTCCTGCTGGAGCCCTGGCCGAGGGTCTCACCTGCACACCTGGTGGCAGTGCTGCTGGGCCTGGGCCAGGGCCTCAAGCAGCAGGTGCCACACTGGCAACAGCACGCTGTGGTATAGCAGCAGGAGCAGCTCCCTCAGAGAATGGAGCAGCTGGTTCAGGACATCAGGGAGCTGGATCAGGAGCACGGAGAATGAATGGGGTTAGGATGCTCCCGGAATGCATCCTGGCCCCAAGGACCCAGTCCATGTGGGGCTGCACCCTCCCAAGAACTCAGCTGCTGGGGAGACCAGCCCGTCTCTGGCTTACCCTCTGGGAGAGGCTGGCGAGGCTGTCACCGAAACAGACAAGGTGGGAGGCACAGTGGGCAGAAAGGAAGCTGACTGTGGCATTAACGTGGGTCCAGGCGAGCTGCAAGCTGGGCCCCACCACAGTCAGCAGGTGAGCGCCCCAGGCCGGCAGCGTCTCCTCTAGCCAGCTGCAGATGACAGGAGAGAGGAGGGCTGAGTTTCCTCAGGCAGCTTAGCTCCCCAGAGCTGGGGAAGGGAAGCCTTGGGAAAGGAAAACCACACTTGCTTCCCACTGACTGTCAATGCCATCACCACCCTGAACACCAATCCATCTCTCCCCCCTCTCCCTGCGAGGTGCTCACCTGTAGCCTTGCAGGCTGTAGGAGTAGATCTTGGCACATGCTTTTTGGCCAGCAGGCAAGAAACCAGATGATTGAAGCAACCGGCCAGAAAGGGAGTCTGAGTAAAGGGGGTCTCTGTGAGCTGGGAGGTGGGGGGCGGGGGGGTGGGGGCAGGGAGTGGGCAGACACTACAGGCTCCTGAGCAGGCCCAGTGAGGGATGGGGTCGACCTTTGTGTATTCATAGGGCTTCTACTGACCAGCTGTGATCTTACACGAACTGATAAATCTTTCTAAGCTTCAATTTACTCAAAAATCAAAAAGGAGATAACACCTACTTAAAGGAGACCATGAACACGCAAGCCCTTCTACTCTGCAAAGCACTGGCCCAATCTGAAGTGGTAATGTCACAGTTGTAGGCACAAAAATCTGTCTGAAAAGTGTTTGTTTTGCAGCATCAGGGCAGAGCTGTGTGCTGGGACGGGGTGCTACAGCTAGCTCTATGACCCACCCCATGCTACCTGCCTTGCCCACCAATCCTTGCTTACCCTGGAAGGAGCTGTGTGACCGGAAGTCGTGGCACAGGACACCTATGGCAAAGATCAGCACCAACAGGAGTAGCCGTGTCCAGGGCAGCCGGAACCCCCGAGCCTGCTGCAACAGCCCCTAGGAGGAAAGGGGGCAGGAGCTGTGGTCAGAAGGGAGATGGGGCTGGCCTTGCCTCCTAAGGCAGACCTCAAGCCAGACCTTCCAGGGAGAGGGCCAAGCCCTCCCCAACCCGAGGTAGTGGGGGCTCCAGGGACAGGTGGGGCAGGAATGTGATACAGGCCCAACCAGGGTGTGCCGAGACAGATGCAGAACAGTGTGTGGGTTGGGGAGGACTGGGTGCTGACACCTTGCAGGCTTTGTCACAGGTGACGACATCCTGGTTATTACAGCTGCCTTTCCTTAGCAGCTCCTGGTTGGTAAGCTTGAAGGATTCAATGGTTTCTTGCAAAGACTTCTGTGCCTGTAGGATAAGAAACATCTGGGTTGAGAGCATAAGCTTTGGCCGTGAGGGAACCCTCCACCATGCTTCATTTTCCAGGCCAAATGTACTAGCAGAGCACCTTCTCAGGGAAGGGGGACAGTGGCTGGGGGTACGAACCCAGAACCCAGACGAGGCTCAGCCTGCCATGTCCTTCCAGCTCCTCACCTTCTTGGGAATCCGCTCCCAGGACCTGAGCAAATGCTCCAGCAGCAGGCTGTGGGGAAAACACAACCCCTTCCAATCAGGGAGCCCACTTGGCCCTTCCCATCCTCCACTAGGCCCCTGCTGCCTCTGGCTGAAGACTGCACCCCCACCAGCACAGGAACTGCTTCCCAAGAGCCACATGCAATGTTCCCACTCAACTTGGAGGCATGAGCCCCAACAACAGTAACAAATGTTCCCCTTCTGCTTCTAGGACAGGGACAGACTGGGAGGCACGAACTAAGG